GATTAGAAAGGTAAAAGAAAAAAAGACAGCCGTAGGATGAAGTGGGAGCACGGATGGGAGCATGGGAGGGAACAGGCAAGCCGGATCCCATGGTGGCATCCATATTTTGTCGTGGCCGATGCGATGGGATGAGGCACACTATCTGGGACGAATGGTCATGGAAGGTATGTCATGGTTCATCACAAGAGGATTAGATTTTGATGCAATTTCATGAATTCTAGTAGGTGGTGCATGTGATTAGGTTTGACCCTTTTCTGTTCACCGACCCTATTGTCCACCACATTGGATCCGCTTAAGTGGAGATGTCTTCCACTGCACGAGATCATATTAGCTTCCTGGGCGTCAATAGATACCAGAACATAAACAATTGAGCAACTTGACCTACACTGACAACCACCGCAACACCATCATCATCGACAAAACTTACATGACTACTAGCTCCCACAGACGCCCATGATGCCCACATGCCAGCGAGAACTACATTGATTCTCGTAGCAGCAATAACGTAGATTCAAATTCATACATATCTACATCCAATTTTATTCTGCATCGTGTTATTCTACTAGCAATAGTAGATTAAAACTTGTCACAGCGAGCAACTTATATGTACTTGATGATGAATTACAAGTCAATGAACATTTAGGCCCAATTCTTTTGTTTTGTCACAATTTACAACGTCAAATGATCGCTATCACTTCATTCCTGCTACTATTGTTGTGTATACCATGTAGTACCTTTTAAGTTGTCACATTGCTCTGAATATAACTTTATGTGCGTTCTAGATCTTCCTAAGTTGCTAGACTAATTGGTCGTTATTACTTATTATGTAGCTGGCAACTAGAACTCACAAACTAATTTTTTTGGGAAACGTAGTATGTAATTTTAAAAAAATTCCTACGCTCACACAAGATCTATCTAGGAGATGCATAGCAATGAGAGGGGAAGAGTGTGTTCACGTAACCTCGTAGACCAAAAGCGGAAGCGTTAACTTCGGTTGATGTAGTGGAACGTCTTTTAGAATCAACCGATCATGTATCGAATGTACGACACCTCCAAGTTCTGCACACATTCAGCTCGATGACGTCCCTCGAACTCTTGATCCAGCAGAGTGTCGATGGAGTCGATGAGTTCTGTTAGCACGATGGCGTGATGATGGTGTTGGTGATGTGATCCGTGCAGGGCTTTGCCTAATCACTACGATGATACTATCATAGGAGTAAACAGTGGAGGGGGGCACCGCACACGGCTAAGAATAACTGTTGTGCCTTTGGGGTGCCCCCTGCCCCCGTATATAAAGGAGGGAGGGAGGAGGCGGCCGTCCTAGAGGGGGCGCGCCATGGGGGGAGTCCTACTAGGACTCCCAGTCCTAGTAGGATTCCCCTTTTCTATTCCGGAGTGGCAAAGGGGGAAAGGGAGAGGGAGTAGGAGAGGGAAAGGGGGGCCGTGCCCCCACCCCTAGTCCAATTCGGATTGGCAAGGGGGGGGGGCACCTTCCCCGTGGATGCCCTCTCATCTCCACTAAGGCCCTGTGGCCCATTAACTTTACCAGGGGGGTCCGGTAACCTCCTGGTACTCCAAAAAATCCCCGAACCTCTTCAGAACCATTCCCGTGTCCGTATATAACCTTCCAATATATCAATCTTTACCTCTCAACCATTTTGAGACTCCTCGTCATGTCCATGATCTCATCTGGGACTCTGAACAACCTTCGGTCACCAAAACACATAACTCATATAATACCAATCGTCATCGAACATTAAGCGTGCGGACCCTATGGGTTCGAGAACTATGTAGACATGACCGAGACACCTCTCCGGTCAATAACCAATAGTGGAACCTGGATGCTCATATTGGTTCCCACGTATTCTACGAAGATCTTTATTGGTCGAACCGCATGTCAATATAGTTATCCCCTTTGTCATCGGTATGTTACTTGCCCGAGATTCGATCGTCGATATCTTCATACCTAGTTCAATCTCGTTACCGGCAAGTCTCTTTACTCCTTACATAGTGCATCATCCCGCAACTAACTCATTAGTCACATTGCTTGCAAGGCTTCATATGATGTGCATTACCGAGAGAGCCCAGAGATACCTCTCCGATACTCGGAGTGACAAATCTTAACCTCAATCTATGCCAACCCAAAAAACACCTTCGGAGATACCTATAGAGCATCTTTATAATCACCCAGTTACGTTGTGATGTTTGATAGCACATAAGGCATTCCTCCGGTGTCTGGGAGTTAGATAATCTCATAGTTGGAGGAATATATATTTGACACGAAGAAAGCAGTAGCAATAAAACTGAACGATTATTATGCTAAGCTAACGGATGGGTCTTGTCCATCACATCATTCTACTAATGATATGATCCCGTTATCAAATGACAACTAATGTCCATGGCTAGGAAACTTAACCATCTTTTGATCAACGAGCTAGCCTAGTAGAGGCATACTAGGGACACATTGTTTTGTCTATGTATCCACACATGTATCAAGTTTCTAGTTAATACAATTCTAGCATGAATAATAAACATTTATCATGAATAAGGAAATATAAAATAACAACTTTATTATTGCCTCTAGGGCATATTTCGTTCAGTCTCCCACTTGCACTAGAGTCAATAATCTAGATTACATTGTAATGTATCTAACACCCATGGAGTCTTGGTGCTGATCATGTTTTGCTTGTGGAAGAGGCTTAGTCAACGGGTCTGCAACATTCAGATCAGTATGTACTTTGCAAATCTCTATGTCTCCCTCCTTGACCAAATCTCGGATGGAGTTGAAGTGTCTCTTAATGTGTTTGGTCTTTTTGTGAAATCTGGATTCCTTTGCCAAGGCAATTGCTCCAGTATTGTCACAAAAGATTTTCATTGGACCCGATCCACTAGGTATTACACCTAAATCGAATATGAACTCCTTCATCCAGACTCCTTCATTTGCTGCTTCCGAAGCAGCTATGTACTCCGCTTCACACGTAGATCCCGCCACGACACTCTGCTTGGAACTGCACCAACTGACAGCTCCACCATTCAATAAAAATATGTATCCGGATTGTGACTTAGAGTCATCAAGATCGGTGTCAAAGCTAGCGTCGACGTAACCATTTACCACAAGCTCTTTGTCACCTCCATAAACGAGAAACATATCCCTAGTCCTTTTCAGGTACTTTAGGATGTTCTTGACCGCTGTCCAGTGATCCACTCCTGGATTACATTGGTACCTCCCTGCTAAACTTACAGCAAGGCACACATCAGGTCTGGTACACAACATATCATGCATGATAGAACCTATGGCTGAAGCATAGGGAATGAATTTCATTTTCTCTCTATCTTCTGCAGTGGTTGGGCATTGAGTCTAACTCAACTTCACACATTGTAACACAGGCAAGAACCCTTTCTTTGACTGATCCATTTTGAACTTCTTCAAAACTTTATCAAGGTATGTGCTTTGCGAAAGTCCTATCAAGCGTCTTGATCTATCTCTATAGATCTTGATGCCCAATATGTAAGCAGCTTCACCGAGGTCTTTCATTGAAAAACTCTTATTCATGTATCCTTTTATGCTATCCAGAAATTCTATATCATTTCCAATCAACAATATGTCATCCACATATAATATTAGAAATGCTATAGAGCTCCCACTCACTTTCTTGTAAATACAAGCTTCTCCAAAAGTCTGTATAAAACCATATGCTTTGATCAGCTCATCAAAGCGTATATTCCAACTCCGA